ACATACATACATACATACATACATACATACATACATACATACATACATACATACATACATACATACATACATACATACATAGGTTAATTGACCACTCCCCATAGGGGCTTTTCAGGGCCAACACCCACCCATCCCACCCAGGGGAGGACATCCACCACACAGTAATCTCGTGCGTGGGAAATTAACGTCTCCTACCCCTAACCCTGCAGGAGACGGGGCCTACGGTTTATTCGTCCTTATCCGAGAAGACTAGAATATCTATCCATTTCTTGATTATAGAAAGGTAGCAAATTCTCCTCACTTATTTTAAGACCATGAGTATTGGTCCGGCCGGGGCTCGAACCGTCGACCTCCCGCACATCACAATCCGGCGCTCTAACCAATTGAGCTAACCGGGAGGCGGTTTGTAACGTTTTTCAATATGGTGTGCGCAGTAGAGTACAGGTCATTTTATCAAAATGAATATTTTCACTTCCTTATTGAAAGAATATGTTTGCAACGATGTAATATTTCGTGTTTAGATTAACTGTCATCACCCCATTTAGTCGTATCGGAGGTTATGTTTTTACACCACCCTTTGGAGTCGGCAACTGTAAGGTAATGATAGAAATACTTCTAAAAAACACTTTTAACGCCCATTGCTGCGGGCTCCTATGGGAGGAGGAAGAGGAACTTTTATGGGGTTCCAAATACCATTTATACGAAGGGGAATTCATTTCTCGATTTCATCCTCTGTCTTTTTCTTGATAACTGTCCTATTTCCCCTCTCAAGTGGCACAAACCGCATTAGTAAAAATCTTGTTAACAGCCTATTAATTATCTGGAAATACATCATAACCTGTATTCAAAAGTTGGTCACATCATTAATTTCCTTACAGACATGTAAGTAATCCACGGTATACAGTTCTACTTATCGATGTGGCAAATGCTGTTCTTGGTAAGCTTCAATTGTTTCCGTAATTCTCCCTTTCTAATCAATCATTTGAATCATCTAATTTTTTGAGGTGCACGCCTTTTACCTCGTAAAGCGTGTTGATTTTGACAGGTAATGCATTGCTTTTGGTAAGTGCTAACCTTGCACCACTTAAATATCTTCGCATCTTAGAGAAGAAACTGACACATGCAGAAGGGAAAATCGTTAACCTTTGAAACTGAATATTTTTTCTATTAGGACTGACTTTGGGTTGTTGAAAACTAGTCAGTTCTGAATGTTTTAATCTGCATAAAAGTGTGTTAACATATTTTTTAATGCGTCTCAGTGGTCTTGTGTGGAATTCACGTATGTATAAGTAGGATTGTGTTTCCTTGACAGACTTCTCAGAAGCTTCCTTTTTGGTCTTTAGATATCTACGGACCTGTGTGTGGTCAGTCAGCAAAAGTAGATCAGCTTTTCACTAGGTTAAAAGACAGGATTGGCAGTGAAATCCATTTCCAGCAGACATCTTTCGAGCTACTTGGAAGTTTAGATACTTTGTTTGCAGCAGCCGTTTCTACTTTATCACTTACAACCGATCACGACGAAGGACAGTAAACATCAGATGCGTACTAGTGGCTAAATAGGTGAGGAGACCAGCAGGCGAATACCCAAGCTAGTTACATGAGCGTTCAAATATTAGAGATCTTATAGGAACACTCGCCAATTGTAAATTATTGTACAGAAACAATTTTATTAAAATTGTCAAAGAAAGACTGTACCAAAAGCGAAAAAAAATGTTCAATGAAAGAAACCATTCTCTCGAAGAATATGTTGATTAGGTTTTGATGTTTTACACGGACGGACTAATTGAGAAAACGGTACCTTCATGGGCGGTAAGTACTTGGTGTAATCCTTAATGTATGTTAATGAATGCAAATGACCATGTATTCCCATATGTTCTTCTGTATTGATGCATGTATGAAGGATTTCACCAAGTATCTGCCTCGTGGGCATGTCAACTTACTATCCTCAACACTCTGACACCAATCTTATCAATTCGATCTGTTGCTCTTATAAAATGTAATTCTCGCCAAACTTTCGTTTTAAAACAAAGTAAAACGAACTGATAAAGTTTGGAATTACCGAACCTCCAACTTGTGTTCCCTTGCTCGCTTTCCCTGCTTTACTAGCTCCAGTTTATATTGATTGCTTCATTTTAGTACTTAATGTGTAGGTAAGGCCCCCCAGAAAACTGTTCAAGCGAGTTTGGTTCCCTCAATAAATATGACCACAGTACTGAGATTTTTATTATTACTGATATCCATGACGCCGCCAACTCAAATGATACCACGGAATTGATTGATATATTTGAGGAAAAGCACGAGTTACCAATTCTAAAAGCTCTTTAGATTCGTTTTCGAACCGTTCAAGGTTTTCCTGAAATTTATTTAGTTAAACTAACTGGCCATTTGTTTCCTCTTATTGCTGTTCCCCAAAATTCACAAGTTTGAGTACCACACAATCAGAGAAACTATCACACCTACTATAGTTAAAAGGGGCACCTAAATTTTTTTTTTTAATTCTTGATTACGCGAACCCTCAGTGAATAACAATTTAAGAAGAAGTCGTCCACGAATTTTCCAGATTCTCGGGGGTCCTTGAGAAACTTTTTTACCTCAGGTTATCAGGATTTCTCCCAAAGTTTAATATCCTTAATCATCACCAGTATGGATTCAGACCACATCACTGCTATTGGCCATCTTAGAACTTGTCAATAATATATATGATGGTTTTGAAAACAATCAGTACGATACTTACCTCTGAATACTTTGAAAATCTTAGATAATTCTCTTTTCTTACCTTACATAAACTATGGCCCAGTTCAGACGCGGATCTTTTCATGAGCCGAACCTAATTCCTTGAATTAAGTACATGAAAAGATCGACGTCTGAATCAATTTGGAACGGCTATTTCAATTTGGAACGGCTCACCCGTTCTTCCCGCCTGGCTTGGCCGAGAATTTCGCCTCTGGAACGCGTTTGGAACGGCTTTGATTCAGACGTCGTACTTATCATGCGCAGATCCTAATGCATAAACTATTATAATGTATTTTGCGAGTAATGTGACTGGTTTTACTGGAACTGCATCTGGAACGGCCAAAAAGAACGGCCTCCGAATCAACAGGCGTACTTTTGTTAATTTGGGTCGGTCCAAATTCGAATTGAGTTCGGCTCATGAAAAGTTCGGCGTCTGAACCGGGCCTATGGCAGTTTAATATGGGCATCTACTTATGCTTCTTACCTTAAACTCCTTTATGTACTTCAAAAGAAAGCCGTTCGTATAATTCCTTTTTCTCCTCCGCGCACATCCTCTAAACCCCTTTTTTCTGAGCATAATATTCTTTCACTTTACTCTATTTATAAATTCCATGTTGCCTGTTTTGTATTCTCACATTTTAATAACCTTTTACCTGCTCCTGTTTCCTCGATGCTTCATTTTAATTCTGAATATCACAATTATTTGACTCGTTCACGTTTTAACCTGCATAAAACCTGTCCTAAGTACCAATTTGCTATCACTTGGCAAGCTCCTATTATTTGGAATGATATTCCGTTATCTCTGCGCAATAATCTCACAGTAAGCAACTATAAATCTGTATACCTTATGGGAATTTGCATGATGCACGATCCTCGCAGTAGAGACGTATCTATAATCGCAGCATCATACGTATCTATAACCGCAGTTCAAAATATATGAACTTCATAGATTCATCGTATCTTATGAGACTATATTAGGTCTAATTGTTTGTATTTTTTTGTGTGGTTTATAGGAATTTATTATTAGTCGTTTAAATATTTAAACTAGTTGCCAAGTATTGAATCTCAATTGGAAGTTTTTTTTTTCTGACTGACCTTTTCTTTCTTGGTTTAATTGTATTGTAATTATTTCAGTTAAAGCTCTCTTCTACTCCTGTAAATTCTTCACGTCTTTTTTGCTGACCTTAGGCCATTTAAGCCCCCGGCTTTGGCTGTTCTTGTGTATTTTTCTTCCAATGTGTGAATAGCAGGAATTAAAATGGAATGATGTATGGATTTCTCACGAGATATTGGTAGATCTATTCCATGTCATTTTGTAAGAACTTTTTTTAATCAAATCTGTAATAAAAGTAAACTTGTCTTTGCTTTGGTGAAGGCAAAGGCCAAAGTGTAACTTTCTACTGAACGTAAAGAAAAAAGAGAAGTCTGCAACATCTCTTAGAATTCAACTTCGATGATCATGTCATATATCGAGTTACCGTTTTTGTCATGAATGTCGGCAGGTTGATTCAGGTCGTCGCAATGACCGGTATCGCTCTGACAGGGATCGGTCGAGGATTGCGTCATATATCGCTGTACCGGTGATCACCTTGCCCGAGGTGATTAGAACAGGAGCGCCTCGGGTTCAGTGAACACTGAATAAAGGCTGATAGTTTCTAAAGAAACTGTTTGGGGCTGCGTCGGTAGACAGACACCTTAACGAGCTCTGTCAATCGTACCAATATACTCAATTGATCAGGGAGCCTACACGCGTCACATCAAGTTCTAAATCACTTATCGACTTATTTCTTACCAATGAGCCAGATACATTTGTTACATCAGGCGTGTCCCTTATTGGCTGTAGCGATCACAGTCTAATTTATGTCTCGAGAAAACTAACATGCCCTAAGTCGTCCCCGTGAATAATTGAATCAAGACAATTCAAAAACTTTATCCCTGATTATTTTTTGGATGACATGGCGCTGGTACCTTGGGACATAATTGAGCATATAGACAATCCTAAAAGGGCATGGGAGATGTGGAAACATTCTTTTTTAACAGTGGCCAACCTTCATGCACCAGTTAGGAAAAAGAGAGTTAGAAACACTAAAGCTCCCTGGCTCACTCCTGAAATCTTGCGATTGATGCGGGAAAGAGATAGAATAAAGCGAATCGCCACTATCACTGATGATCAGTCGAAATGGGCAGAGTACAGACGGCTTAAGAATCGAGTCAACCATTCTATTAAGGCTTCCAAGGAGGATTACTATTATTCTTACTTTGAGGACAACGTTGGGAAAGCAAAGGCAATTTGGAATGGAATTGATACACTACTATCGCGTAAGAAAAACTTTGCTCAGACGACAAAATTGATCATTGGTGAAGCGGTGATAACTGACCCCCATGAGCTCAGCAACGCATTTAACAGGTATTTTACCGGGATAGGCCCCAGCCTAGCGTCTCAAATTAATCCCCCTTGGGTCAGCTTTCGTGATTTTGTTGAATCTCGTGACAGTACCTTCGAGCTAAAATTACTATTGATGAACTGTGTAAACTTGTGAATGATATCTCTGTGGGCAAGGCTGATGGACTTGATGGGATCCCAACTTCCCTCCCAAAGTTATCGTTTACATTCATTGCATCTTCTTCGACTCGTATATTTAATTTAGTTATTTCCACTGGAATCATCCCCAACGACAGGAAGTGTGCTAGAGTAACTCCAATTCACAAAGCTGACTCGAGGGTTGATCCAGCAAACTACAGGCCTATTACTGTACTTTCTGTAATAGCTAAGCTCTTTGAAAAAGCAATTTTCAATCAGGTATACTCCTATTTAAATGAGAATAACCTACTTTCTAAATATCAGTCTGGCTTTAGACCCATGCATTCTACTCTGACGGCTCTCACTGATATCACAGACAATTGGTATCTCAACATCGACAATGTTTTGACGAATGCCATTCTGTTGTTATAGATTTAAAAAAGGCATTGCACACTATTGACCATGAGATCCTTTTGTCAAAGCTGGAGTTGTATGGGTTAAGGGGTGTAAGCCTTAACCTTTTTCGAGACTATCTCACTGACACTCGGAACACAGGTCACAGTTATTAATAATGTAAATTCTGAAACTAGTCGCATACGTTGTGGGGTGCCCCAAGGTTCAATTCTCGGGCCTCTACTATTTCTATTATACATTAATGACTTTCCAAACTGTGACCTTCTGTCAGATGTGAGGATGTACGCCGATGACACTAATCTCACGTTTGCCTCCAATGACCCTGAAGAGCTGTTTTCATCCCTGACCCACGGTCTGAACAATCTGAAACAATGGCTTGACTCTAACCGTTTAAGTCTTAACGTCCTCAAGACGTCCTCAGGAGTATATTTACAGGAAGAAGGTACAAAATCTCTTCGCTCCCTAGTGAACCTTGTATTTACCTTGATGGACACTTAATTGAAAGACTCAATAGTTACAAATATCTTGGTGTTCAGGTGGATCAAACATGCACTCTCATGGGAAGCCCATATCTCCAAGGTCGCCAGTAAAATTGCTAAAGTACTTGCTGCCCTTGGGGTCTTGTAATCGAGTGAAATAATAAAATGTTTTTCTGGTAAACATTTAATGGTAGCAGAGCGAGGTTTTAATTATGTCAGTGGACGGCAAGCATAACGAAGCCATGGACGAAGAGGAGGACCGTATCGAAAATTTAAAGCAGCAAAAGGCGAAGGATAAATCAGCCTTCACTAGGATAAAGAACAAGTTGTTGAGCCTTCTAGACGAAGAAGATTATCCGAGTCGGCGGGAAGTCAAGGCGGTTTGTCAAAAGCTCTGTGAAGTGCAAGAACGCGCAATGTCAACAATGGAAGAATTATCTCAAGAATATTTGAGCTGCAANCGGAAAAGCGTGGAAAAACAAACTCTAGAGGAGCAAATTAAGAGAGAACAAGATAGCGCTCGTGATAAAGAAGATCAATCAATCAATCAATAATCTTTATTTATACACGATAAGTATTTAAAGCGACACTTGGCTTGTGGGGTCATGTCTAATAATTAAGTAAGATAACTAATGAATTAGAGAATAAATAGGATATACCCAGCTAAAATCATATCGCTACTTACTACTTACAATTCTAAAACGACAAAAACTTAAAATTCTAAAAAGCAAGGTGGTACTCTAATATCGTCTAATTATTAACACTAATTATACTTAAAGTCTTCCTCCCTTCTGGTTAATGTTTGAGGGGAGATACAGTCGAAATCAAGGTGTAGCAAAGCCTTAGATCGTCTTTGGAAGAATTACGTCGTTAGTATCGAAGTCGTTTATTTGTTGAAGGGGAACTTCAAAATTTGAAAGAGTCGGAGTTCAAAGGACTGGAAACAAGAAAATTTCTGCGAACAATTTGGAAGAAAGTCGTTGAACGCCATCGCTTGGTAAGGACATGTGGAATCAGCTTAAGCGTGTTTCAATTCCCGTATTCAATGGTGATGAAAGGTATGAGGGTTGGAAAATGGCTTTCATGGCGTTTGTGGACAAGGCACCTGCTACACCAGAGTATAAATTGCTTCAGTTACGTCAATATTTATCTGGCGAAGCTTTAAAGGTCGTGGAACCTTTGGGCTACTCTGCGACGGCTTATGAAACGGCAACAGAAAGATTGGAACGAAAATTTGGCGGCAAACGGCGTCAGGTTGCCTTGCATTTGGAAGAATTGGAGAACTTTAAGCCACTTCGCCCTGGAAATGCAAGGGACCTCGAGAGACTTGCAGATTTGTGAGATGTTACTGTAGTAAACCTGAAGGAAGCTGGTCGGCATGACGAATTAGGAAGCGGATCACTGTACCTCAGTGTGTGTAAGAAATGGACAGAAGAAATGTTAGCGCATTATCACCGGTGGATTCATGAAAATGGTCGTTGGCAGTCGTTGGAAACATTGAGAGAGTTCATCATCCAGAAGGCAGAATTTCGGACAGTAGCATCGGAAACAATTCGTGGTTTGATTAAGAAAGGACTTAAGAAGGATGGTGGAGTGACCTTTTTCGGCAACACGCAGAAATCTTCAGGAAATTAGAGAGGAGTTGGATTTCGACCTTGTAAGGTTTGCGGTGGTCATCATGGAGTTTGGCGCTGTGACAGGTTCAAGGCTATGAGCCTTCCAGAGAGATGGGAAGCTGCCAAGAGCCTTAAACTGTCTTATCGTTGCTTAGGAGGAGATCATACTGGAGAACGTGCGTTAGATCGAGAATTTGCGGGATAAATAATTGTAAGAACACTCACAACCGGTTATTGCAAAGAGACCAGCTGTAGCACCAGATCGAAGTGAACAGTTGAACTCTCCTGACCGCCGTGATGTGGAACAAGGAGCATCAGGTGGTTCCCAGGTTCCTTGTGGCCCTTCGCACAGTACCTGTGTTTCTGAAGAACAGCTATCGCAGAATTAAAGTGAACGCATTGCTGGACGATGCTTCAACGAAGACGTATTTAAATGCTGACGTAGCCGCTGAGCTTGGACTTCAAGGGCACCCTCAAAGTGTAACTGTGAATGTTCTAAATGGACAGGTTGAAACCTTCGATACTATGCCAGTCGAGGTCGAGTTGGAAAGTTTGGATGGAAATGTGAAAGTTACAATAAGTACATTTACAGCCGAACGAGTCACAGGAAACTTGAGAGTTATTGACTGGGGAAAGTATGCAGTAAATTATACCCACTTGAAAGGGATACAGTTTCCAAACCCAGGCATCCGTCCAATAGCAGACTTGTTGATTGGAGGTGATTATGCTGAACTACACTATTCGTTCAAAGATGTTCGAGGGCAACCCGGGGAACCAGTAGCAAGACTTACGCCATTGGGATGGACATGTACAGGAACGGTTAGTGGGTTTGAAGGAGATACCTATCAGTCAAGCTTTGCACACACCTACTTTGTACGAAAACAGTCAGACACAGACGAAATTAGTAGTCTACTACGAGTCTGAGGTGTTTCGAAAGTGTCTTTGTTCGAGGTGTTAGAATCATCCTCTTTGTCGCGAAAAAAGGCTTTGAATTGAACGCCGCGTTCGAAAGTCTAAATGGACTCCCCCGGAGGGCCAGTTCACATCATTAGACTTTTTTATCAAAAATGTCACCACGATATCAACAAACTTAATTTCAATCGTATTACCAAATTTTCCAATCTCTCTTCTGAAGAGTGGTCTGCTTTAAAAAGCCTTAGAAAACGCAAAGACATAATTATCAAAACGGCCGATAAGCGCGGTTCAGTCGTTGTTTGGCGCACCGACCTCTACCAAAAAGAAGCTTTGCGGCAACTTTCTGAAACCTTTTTATCAAAAGGTCGACAAAGACCTCACTGCCAGCAATCAAAACACCGTCAAGAATACGATCAACCAACTCATAACTAAATAAGAATTGCCGGCCACAGCAAAAAATCTCATCATAACATCGTGTATTTACTTTTTACCTAAAATTCACAAACCTAACAACCCGGGTCGGCCCAT